TTTAATTTAGCTAATAAGAAAACAGTTTGTTTAACCTTTTTAACGAATAACATATATTATGCATCCATCCATCCATCCATTTTCTTCCGCTTATCCGGGGTCGGGTCACGGGGGTAGCAGCTTAAGTAGGGAGGCCCAGACTTCCCTCTCCCTAGCTCCTCCGGGGGAATCCCGAGGCGTTCCCAGGCCAGCCGAGAAACATAGTCTCTCCAGCATGTCCTAGGTCTTCCTCTGGGTCTCCTCCCAGTGGGACGTGTCCGGAACACCTCACTAGGGAAGCATCCAGGAGGCTTCCTAACCAGATGCCAGAGCCACCTCAACTGGCTCCTCTCGATGTGGAAAGCAGCCGCTCTACTATGAGTCTCTCCTGGATGACAGAGCTTCTCACCCTATCTCAAAGGGAGAGCCCAGACACCCTGTGGAGAAAACTCATTTTGGCTGCTTGTATCCGAGATCTCATCCTTTCGGTCACAACCCAAAGCTCATGACCATAGATGAGGGTAGGAATGTAGATCGATCGGTAAATTGAGAGCTTCACCTTTTGACTCCGCGCTCTCTTCACCACGACAGACCTGTACAGCGCCCGCTTCACTGCAGACGCTACACCTATCCGTCTATCGATCTCACATTCCATTTTTCCCTCATTCGTGAACAAGACCCCAAGATACTTGAACTCCTCCACTTGGGGCAGGACTTCTTCCCCGACCCAGAGAGGGCACTCTACCCTTTTCGGCTCAAGACTATGGCCTCGGATTTGGAGGAACTGAACCTCATCCCGGCCGTCTCGCACTCGGCTGCGAACCGCTCCAACGAAAGCTGTAAATCCCAACCTGATGAAGCCAATAGGACCACATCATCTGCAAAAAGCAGAGACGCGATCCTAAGGCCACCAAAGCTGATCCCTCAACACCTTGGCTGCGCCTAGAAATTCTGTCCATAAAAGTTATGAACAGAATCAGTGACAAAAGGCAACCTTGGCGGAGTCCAACTCTCACTGGGAGCGAGCCCGACTTACTGCCAGCAATACAGACCAAGCTCTGACAACGGTCATGCAGGGACCTAACAGCCAAAATCAAAGGGCCTGGTACCCCATACTCCCAGAGTAGCCCACACAGGGTTCCTCGAGGGATGCGGTCGAACGCCTTCTCCAAGTCCACAAAGCACATGTAGACTGGTTGGGCAAACTCCCACGTACCCTCCTGGACCCTGCTGAGAGTGTAGAGTTGATCCAGTGTTCCATGACCAGGATGGAAATTGCACTGCTCCTCCTGAATCTGAGGTTTGACTATCCGATAGACCCTCCTCTCCAGAACCCCCGAATAGACCTTACCAGGGAGGCTTAAGCGCGTGATCCCCATCTAGTTGGAACACACTCTACGGTCCCCCTTTTTGAATAGAGGGACCGCCACCCTAGTCTGCCAATCCAGGTGAACTTCCCCCAATGTCCACGCAATATTGCAGAGTTGTGTAAGCCAACACAACCTTACAACATCCAGAGCCTTAAGGAACTCTGGACAAATCTCATCCACCCCTGGGGCCCCACCACTGAGGAGAGTTTTAACCACCTCGGTAACCTCAGCTCCAGAGATTGGGGGTCCCGACCCAAAGTCCCCAGGCTCTGCTTCCTCAGTGGACGACGTGCCAGTGGGACTGAGGAGGTCTTTGAAGTATTCTGCCCACTGACCCATAGCATCCCGAGTTGAGGTCAGCAGCAAACCACCCCCACTTTAAACAGTGTTGGTGGTATACTGCTTTTCCCCCTTGAGACACCAGATGGTGGACCAGAATAGCCTTGAAGCCGTGTGGAAATCATTCTTGATGACCTCTCCAAACTCCTCCCATGCCCGAGTTTTTGCCTTAGTGACCACCCGAGCTGCATGTCACTTGGACTGCCGGTACCCATCAGCTGCTTCCGGTGTCCCACAGGCCAAAAATGCCTGATAAGACTCCTTCTTCAGCCTGACAACATCCCTCACTGCTGGTGTCCACCACCAGGTTCGAGGATTGCCACCGTGACAGGCACCGACAACCTTGCAGCCACAGCTCCGGTAAGCTGCCTCGACAAGAGAGGCATGGAACATGGCCCACTCGGACTCAATGTCCCCCACCTCTCCCGGAACATGTTTGAAGTTCTCCCGGAGGTGGGAGTTAAAGCTCCATCTCACAGGAGACTCTGCCAGATGTTCCCAGCAAACCCTCACCATATGTTTGGGCCTGCCATGTCTAACCGGCATCCTCCCCCACCATCGGAGCCAACTCACCACCAGGTAGTGATCAGTGGACAGCTCTGCCCCTCTCTTCACCCGAGTATCCAAGACATGTGGCCGCAGATCAGATGAGATGACAACAAAGTCGATCATCGAACTGCAGCCTAGTGTGTCCTGGTGCCAAGAGCACATATGGACACCCTTATGCTTGAACATGGTGTTTGTTATGGACAATCCACGATGAGCACAGAGGTCCAACAACAGAACACCACTCGGGTTCAGATCTGGGTGCCATTCCTTCCAACCACACCCTTCCAGGTCTCACTGTCATTTTTGTCATGTTTGGATGAAATGAAATGAATAAATAAAACATACTGTCATTGCCCACGTGAGCATTGAAGTCCCCCAGCAGAACAAGGGAGTCCCCAGGAGGTGTACTCTCCAGTACCTCCTCTAAGGACTCCAAAAGGGGTGGGTAATCTGAACTGCCATTTGGGCCATAAGCACAAATGACAGTCAGAGTCTGTCCCCCCACACATTGGCGGAGGAAGGCTACCCTCTCATTCTCCGGGGTGAACCCCAACATATATGCACCAAGATGAGGGTAAATGGAATGGTAAATGGACTGTACTTATATAGCGCCTTTCTATCTTATTTCAAGATACTCAAAGCGCTTTACATTACAATCTGTGTCCTCATTTACCCATTCATACAGCACTCTACTAGATCTCTACAAAGCTAATCGAACAAATCATTCTAATGAGATTAATCAGTGCTTTAGATCACATTCATACACTGATGGGATACACATCAGAGGCTATGAGGGGTTCAGTGTCTTGCCCAGGGACACTTCAGCATGTGACTGATGGTGGATTTGAACCCCCAATTCTCACATTGGAGGACGACTGCTCTAACCACTCAGCCACAGCCCACTCATGCTCGGCGCCTCTCACCAGGGGCAACTCCAGAGTGGAAGAGTGTCTAACCCCTCTCTTGGAAACTGGTTCCAGAGCTATGCGTAGAGGCGAGTCCAACTATTTCTAGCCAGAACCTCTCAACCTCACACACCAGCTCAGGCTCCTTCCCCACCAGTGAGATGACATTCCACGTCCCAATAGCCAGCTTCTGTAGCCGAGGATCAGACCGCCAAGATCCCCGCCCTCGGCCACCACCCATCCCACATTGTACCCGACCCTTTTGTCCCCTCCCACAGGTGGTGAGCCCATGGGAAGGGGGACCCACGTCTCCTCTTCAGGCTGTGCCCGGCCAAGCTCCATGGGTAAAAGCCCGGCCACCAGACGCTCGCCAGTGTGCCCCACCTCCAGGCCTGGCTCCAGATTGGGGCCCCGGTGATCCACGTCCGGGCGAGGGAACATCGAGTCCATTTATTTTTCTCATCATAGGGGTATATATTAGGAAAAGTTAAATATTTATTTGTTTTTTTCCTGTAACATTTGGTTTCTTTAACTGTATAATTTGATCAGTGATGGGTTTTCCACATGGTACTGTTAAGATCATTGTCTTTCAGAGGCTTTGTTTGAATTACCATACTATCCTCTAACCAGGTTGTTACCATGGAAACCAACACCTCTTGTGTCCTGGGGGTATGACAAAGTTCTGTCCTTTCACTGAATGTAGATCCTCTGAGGTTACACTTTGTCTGGCAGGAAAGAGAGTTGGTAAGCTTGCAGAAAGTACCAGAACTTTATCTTTGATATAGATTTTTTAGGAGTCTTAAAGTCTAGCTTCTCAGGAAATAGAGAAGATTAGCAAAAGGGGTTTAATTACCATACAGTTCAGTGTCTCTGAGGCCTGATCAGAATGCTGAGTCACCCTGACTTGTCCGGATAATGTAGAACCCTACACTTCCTTCTCTGCATCATGTCAGCCAGCTCTCTACCTTTGTCTGTCATTGTCCCCACATTTTGAGTTACCACCCTCAGTCCTACATTCTCATTCTTGACTTTCCTCTTCTCCCTCTTTCTCCTGACACGTTTTCCTCCTCGCGGTCTTCAACTAATGGTAACACAATTTCTGCTGGCACCCTGTTTGTCAACAGCACCGGTGGCAGTCTTTGTTAACCCGGGCCTCGTCCAATCCAGTATCTTGTCGCATAGATGAACTCACGCATTGGTTTAGGCAAAAATGATTTATGTCGGATGTCCTTCCTGACACAACCCTCACCAATTACCTGGGTTTGGAACTGGCACAAGAGATACACTGGCTTGTGCTCCCTAGTGGCTGGTTTAGTTGACCAATAATCTACACAACCAAAACAACCAGCCATACACTCTCACCTACTTTCAATTTAGAACTGCTAATTAAGCTAACTTGCATGTTTTGAAATGTGGCAAAATCAGGTTATCCAGAAAAAACCCCATGCATGCACAAGGAAAACATGCATAGTCCAAATAGACACGACTCACTCAGAATCAAACTACCATGAGGTGACAGCAGTAACCACTGTTCTGTAATGACATAAAATAAAAAAAACGTGCACTTTGGCATCATCATCACATAATATGATATGGCTGATATTTGATTTAACACTAAAGGTTCTTCACGAGATGTTTTTAAAACTGGAAAATGTCAGGGTTTCCCTAACAATATGGCAGTAAAGAGATGAAAAAACTTTAACCGTTTACACAATTTGTTTTATTTAAAATAGTTAAATAATAAACTGTGCAAACAATATTACATTTAAAAACATAAAAATTCTGGAAATTAAAACATATGCACTGGAATTAAAAAATTTGGTTTCATAAAACTGACTGGGAAAAATAAGAGGGTTTGTCATATTTTGCCTAAGCAAAACAACCTTTTAACATGTTTAAAAATTTCTTTCATTTTGAGTCCATATATGAATGGATTTAACAAAGGATTACATAAAAGCCCTTGGAATGTCATTATAAAGCTAACAACTGAGGGAAAGTCAGACTCCACTCGAGCTACAACTAGATCATATACCATTAAACAGAAGATGACGTTTAAAACCAGCAGGTGGGGAATGCAAGTCTCAGCAGCTTTTTTTCTCAATGTTTTAGAATTTCTATAACATATTACAAATATATTTGCATATGTACAAACTGTAAAGAGAATTGGTAATATTATAGTATTTAGCATAATTACAATCCCAAAAAAAGCAATTGGTCTTGATCTTACACAATGAGCTGAGTAAATTATATTGTTGCAAATGATTCCTTTTAACCTTAAATTACATATTTTAGCTTTAGCACTCAGGATTGTTTGTACTGCAATGTGACAAGCAGGAAAACACCAAGCTAGAACCAGAAAAATGTTTACTCTGCTTTTTGTCATCATCATTCGATATCTCAGAGGTTTACATATAGACACATATCTGTCAAAAGACATCACTGCCAGCAGCATAAATTCTGTACAACCTGTTGAATGAAATATAAAAAATTGAAAGTGACATGCTGACAAGGAAATGATCTGGTCATGAGATAAAAAGTCAATCAGGAGCTTTGGGCAAACAGTGGTGCTGTAAAGAACACAGTTAAATAACAAAGCTGCAATGAAGATGTACATGGGTTCATGGAGGCCCTTGTTTGTCAAGATCAGATATACAATGATAGAATTACTGCAGAGTATTAAAACATATACCATAAACATAATGGAAAAATACAAATATCTGTATTTGTTTAGTTCTACATATCCCCACAGATGTATGTAGGAAATATTTACCTCAATTTCCATAAATGTTTGATGCTATAATAATTCATTCAATAAATAAGCATTTACACTGTTACAATAATATCTAATGTGCAGTGAAAACGTTTTTTCAGTAACTGAATTTAATGGCAGTAGTCTGGTGTGTTATCATATACACAGTGCAAACCACTCCAGTCTGTGAAAACATTTCCTTTATATTAGCCTCTGTCCATCTCTAATGATTTATTCTCTAGAGTTCAGTCATGCAATCACCTTGTTTTGTTTAGTTTATTCTTAATCCGTATATTACATAACCCGGGCATTGAAAATCAAGCATGATGTCAACAGGAATAAACAGACCTATGATAAATTATACTCAACTTTAAAAATGTAGATCAGGGGTCCCCAAACTTTTTCCTGTGAGGGCCACATAACTTTTCCCTTCTCTGGTGGAGGGCCGGAGTCAGTTTGTAACAGAAAAAGTGTGACGATTGCAGGAGTGCCTAAACGTAAAAATTTATTGTTTTCCAGAAAGCACAATCAAATAACCCTTTCTGGATTCTTCACAGAACAAAATTCAGGAAGTAAATAACACTATTTATGAAATAAATAATAACAAAATAACCCTCTCTGGGATATTGACAGAGAGGGTTATTATGATTATATTTTTTATAGTCAGAATGACTCATTCAAGTCAGAAAAGTGAGCTTACCTATGTTCATCAGTGTGAACTGTGGGCCTGTATCTGGCTGGTGAGAAGTTGAATCTCAGGTTCCATTCTAGTCACTGCCAGTCTCAAACACTGATGCAGGTGTTCATCTGTCAATCTTGATCTCATTGGAGTTTTCAGCAGTTTCATGCGTGAAAAGGTTTGCTCGCAAATATATGTGCTGCCAAAAAGTGTGGACATCTTCCTTGCGTGTTTTCTGATGTTAGGGTACGTGTCGTTTGGGAGGGCGGCATAGAAGTCAATGAGACCGTTGGGCTTGAACGCGTCTTTCAGAACATCACAGTTCTGTAACTCGGCCAACTCAAACTGATAAGAAGGCTGGGCTTCGTCAATGTCGGCAACAAAGGGGTTCTGGAAAAGACAGATTTCTTTTGCATAAACATGTAGTTCACGGAATCGCGCACCGAACTCCGCCTTCAGCATTTCCAGTGCTTCCACACACTTTTCAGCTGGAAACGGGACCGCTGGGTTCTCTGCAGAGAGGTTTTGTGTAGCAGGGAGATGGACGAAGCTGTGCTTTTTCACGTGTCCCAAAAGCAGCTCTAGTTTCACCTCAAATACTTTTATGTGGGAATACATTTCGCAAATGAGTTTCCCCTGGCCTTGTAGCTGCAAGTTAAAGCTGTTCAGCATTTCTGTCATGTCTGTTAAAAATGTGAGGCGCCATTTCCATTCTGGGTCGATCAACTCTGGCACCGTTTTGTTTTGTGAATGAAGAAATGCGTTAATTTGAGGTAGCAGCTCGTAAAAACGCTTCAAAACTCTGCCCCGGCTCAACCATCGGACCTCTGTGTAGTACAGCACATCGCCGTGCACAGATTCCAGTTCAGACAGGAATTCTTGGAACTGCCTGTGTTTAAGTCCCTTTGCTCTGATGAAGTTTATGCATGACACCACAACCTTCATGACAGAATCCCAAGCCAACACTTTGCAGCACAGTGCTTGCTGGTGAATTAGGCAGTGGACTTGTAGCAGGGTGGTGAGACCTCGTTCTTCCATCTCCCGGTTCATGCGTCCTATTAGACCCCGAGACATGCCCACCATATTAGGAGCCCCGTCAGTTGTGATGCTGGCCAGCTTTGACCAGTCCAGGTCCAACTCTTCCATGGTTTGGTACACTTTGCTGAAAATATCCTCCCCCGTCGTAGTCCCTTTGAGACTTTGGAGGGCTGCCAGCTCCTCGCAGATCTCAAAGTTTGCACTAACTCCACGAACAAAAATGAGCAGTTGCGCGGTGTCCTGCACGTCCGTGCTCTCATCCAGTGCTAATGAAAAAAATTCAAATTCTTTCATCTTCTGCTGCAGCTGGGCATATACATTACCCCCGATTTCTTCAATGCGTCTGGTGATTGTACTCGCTGATAGACTCACGGCATTAAAGACATCTTTCTTCTCAGGACACACCTCCTCCACGACAGCGTTCATGCATTTCTTGACAAACTCTCCATCAGTGAAAGGTTTACCGCTGCTTGCTATCAGTTGAGCAACCCGAAAGCTGGCCCGAACAGATTGGTTCAGCTGAGCTTGGTGTACAAATGTATTCTGCTGAGCTAACAGTCCATTTTTTTAGCTTTGAGAGTTTGTTTGCTTGCATTTGGCCTTGCAAGCTAGCATACTTGTCTTTGTGGCGGGATTCATAGTGTCGCCGCAGATTATATTCTTTGAATACTGCCACCGCCTCTTGACAGATGAGACAGACAGCCTTTTCTTTGCATTGAACAAAAAAATAATCGTTTGTCCACTGCAGGTTAAATGCCCTGCATTCTGAATCAATTTTTCTCTTACCTAATGTTTTCGCCATTATTCCGTTCTCTCTTTGCGAGGGGCAGGTTTAGAATTTTTTTCTGGGGGTTGCCAGATAGGGGCACAGACCACAGAAGGGTGGAACAGAATGTCACGTTATATGCGTGTATGAAATAGTTACTAACTTATAACTTATATTACTTAATAATGAAAATAGTTCATAACTAAGAAACATTTTATTGCAAAAGTCCAACTTTATTATCAAATACAAATACACATATATGAAAAAAAAATCTAAATGCTCTCTGGTATTGTTCAGGGGGCCGGACCAAATATGGACGGGGGCCGGATCTGGCCCGCGGGCCGTAGTTTGGGGACCACTGATGTAGATAATACTATTGAGGTTTTTTATTTACCATATTGTATAGTTTGCTCCATTAATATCCTTTATTATTTATTCTAAGGAACAAAAAAGTGTGTTAAGGCCAGTGATGGCTTGTATCAATGGGCTAGGAGGGCTAAGCCCTCCCTCCTGGCATTTACAATAAAGATGTTAAAATAAACAACTTAACAACTTAAAAATAAATACATTTTAGAAATAATGTCACATTTGGTTAAATTTACAACAAAACTGGTGTCAAATTGCCTAGTGAAAATCCCAGGGTCGTTCCAAAGGGATAAATTCTGACAGCCCCGTTCTGTTACTGTTCTGTCATGGTTCAGAATGATTGACAGACGTCTGGCCACGCCCCCTCGGGGCTAATTTTGTTCTGCCCAGGGTCCGCCCACAGCCACAGGATTCATCCAATGAGGATGGACGTACAATAACGTACCTTAGCACGAGCATAGATATCATATAATCACTAGATCCCTCATCGGCTGCGGCGGTGCAGGAATTTCGGCCGCCGTTTTGGAGCGGTCGTCCTTCTTATTTGGTTAAAGCAGAAGATTTCTCAGCATTTCACAGCTTATTTCTGTTCTTATCGATGGGCTGTTGACCTCAGGTTTGGGTGGATAGCTTTTCACAAGTAAGATGAACATATTATTGTTAGTATTTTGTGAATATAATATTACTGTACTGTATTTATGTCCACCAGCTGATGTGATGTTCAGTGTAACATGGTGTTCAGCTGCAATGAAGCTAACTGAGATCTGATGACAGGAATATTTTGCTAACAAGCATACTCACTATTTCAGTAGCTTTGGTTCATTATCAACAGATATGCATCAAAACTGGAGTTTTGTTCAAGTTCTAGGATATAAAAAAAATAAAATAGGGAGAATATAGGAAGTAGAAAATAAGATTGACCTTTGTACAATGTTTTTGTCTAGACACAAATCTCCTGTTTTCATTTTGAAGGTTTCCCAAAGAACAAGATGTGAGGAACCACTTTATTTTATTTTACCACTTTATTTATAAAGCACTTAAAACAGCGACAAGGCCAACCAAAGTGCTGTACAGACAAAACAACAGGTAACACACAAAGCAAAATACAAAATGAGGTAAATCAGAATATAGACAAAAACCGATGCAGATAATGACGACAAACCAGTGTGGAGCATACAGGATCAAAACACAGATCATCTTGTGTTGAAAGCTATTGAATAGTAGTGAGTTTTTAAACGGGACTTGAAAACCGAGAGGGAGGGGGCCTGTCTGACAAGCAGAGGTAACTCGTTCCAGAGTCTTGGTCCCGCTACAGAGAAGGCCCTGTCACCTCTGCGCTTAAGACGAGTTCCTGGAACTGTGAGGAGCAACTGGTCCGCTGACCTCAGGGAGCATGGTGGGACATACGGTTGTAGCAAATCAGAGAGATGGGGGGGGGCGACACGGTTCAGTGATTTGTAGACATACATGAGCATTTTGAACTGGATTCGAAAGTGAACCGGTAACCAGTGCAGTGAGGCCAAAACTGGTGTAATGTGCTCTCTTTTGCCTGTACTGGTTAAAAATCGGGCTGCTGCATTCTGGACCAGTTGTAGTCGTGCAATGGAGGTCTGACTGATCCCAAACAGGAGCGAATTGCAGTAACCAAGTCTAGATGTAATGAATGCATATATTACTGTCTCCAGGTTCTTTTTGAACAATATGGGCTTCAGTTTAGACAGCCGCCTCAGTTGGAAGAAGCATGATTTAACAATCATGTTTACATGATTGTTAAGTTTCAGGGAAGGGTCCATTATCACGCCCAGATTAGTGACTCTATGTTTTTCTGACAGGGTTAGAGCGGAAAGGTCGATGCAGTGGTTTGTGATCGTGTCGTTGGGAGGGAACAACATGACTTCAGACTTATTTTCATTGAAACTTAAGAAATTTAAAGCCATCCAGTCCCTGATGTCAACCAGGCAGTTGAGCAGTGGTTGAATAGAGCATGTACCATTGTGTCTTGGGGGAAGTAAATTTGACAGTCATCGGCATAGAAGTGGAAGGGCATGTTGTGTTTCCGGAAAATAGCACCAAGCGGCAGCAGGTATAAAGAGAATAGGAGAGGACCCAGTATGGACCCCTGCGGAACCCCCTATTTAAGCTCTGCCTCTGTGGAACTAAAATCCTTGATGGAGACACAAAAGG